TGTACAATGGGTCTTAAGTCGAATCAGTTATCATTCAGTTATTCTCATAAGCTTTGTGCCACTATTGCCCTGGCATCCAGATTTACTAGTTCCTACTTTTCTATTTTAACTTCTTTTGGATAAGGAGATCACTTTTTAATGAAAGCAAGGGATGAGAAACCAAAACCACAAACTGTCATAAACAGCCTAAAGCAAAATTGTCAGACAATTGAGGGCTTAAGAATACAGTGAAGTGAGGATAAATGATAAAAGAGGTAGAGAAGTGTGGATTCAGCCATATTATCAGCAGGAGATACATGAGGTCTGTATTTATAACCCATTTATAACTTATTCCTTTGGAATGTGTTGGCTTCTCTGAATAGTTTGATTTTTTAAGTATAGATATGCATACCCATGTGTTTACACATCTCTGTGAATGGGGACATATATTCAAGCTAATATGTTTAGCTTTATGGCCTATAAATTCTCCATCTCAACTTCTCAGTTATCCTGCTGGAGAAAGAAAGAAGTATAGACAATATATAAATGAAAGGGTATACCTGCTTTCCAACAACATTTAGTTTACTGATATTTAAATATGAATTATAGTATTTATGTATTGTAAGATACTTTTTTCTTTTGTATTTTATCATCAATCTAAAAATGGGAAATTACTCTTATTGCACTAACCACAAAAATATTGTATGGGAATATTTCAATCCACATACCATTTTTCTGAACTGTAGTATTTCACAGTCACTCACTAAACCAGAAAATGTATCTTCCTTTATCACAATCACCATGAAGACAGCTCAGCACTTTTTTGTGTGAGCACAATGCTAAACAGGAAACATGGTGATACATAGAAAGAGATGAGTGCTGATGGACACATATATCTGCAATTAATGCACTTACTGGGCATTTTAGCACATATTTCCCAGATTTTTCTGTGTATTGGAATCAGATGGGCAGTTTTAAAACATACTGATTTCTAGATCACATGCTCAGGGTATTCAATGTGGTGTTCCAGATGTGCTACATGGGATCAAGGCTTATCTCACATAAGATAGTTTAAAGATGCAGCATTCAGGGTCCACCAAAGACTAGAAAAGAACTGCATCTAGCTTTTCCCTCTTTTCTTTTTAGATTTTTGCTATTTATTTCTCATTTATCAGACTTATCTCATTTTCCAATTATAACATCTCTTTCCCATCTTTCCTATGTATTCATTTCAGATTTGAAGTAACTAAAAGAAGTTAGAAAAGCTTATATGCCTCAGAAGGAATATCCTGCATTCTCTGTGTGGTACCATGCATTATACCTTGGTCTCAGTGTTAGTAGCTTTTATATTAATGGTGCCTTCTGGACACCATGTAGTGCAAGCTCAACATTGTCAGCCAGTCTAGAAAGGGAGGGTACTAGAAAATGATTTCCTAGATACCACTCCTGAGTGAGAGAATTATGTAAACACAGACAGGCAATGCAAATTATAGTATCTGTCCTATCCTTGGATCCTCTATACAGAAATGTATGTATATATCTCAAAAGGCATCATCAATATCTGGGGACATCGTGAAATTAGAGATATCAAAAGAGTAGGCTTTTCAAAGTATATTTCATACACTAAATTAGACGAGACTCTTCTAATCTAGAAAATGTGTCTCTCCGTAACCTAATATAACTAAGCCTCACAGACCCTGTCAAATGTATCTCCTTCTTTGCAGTTTTCCCTTAACCACGTTAGCCTGAACATTTGTTGCCAATGATTTCTAATATGTATCTCAATCATGGCAACATGATATCTGAATCAAAAATGGAGCTTTCTTAATTGGCTTTCAAACTTCTCTAAATTTGATATAGATGCTATCATCCCCTTCCTATCTAAGTGGCAAAGGTCCACGCACTTATGTCATATTTTAAACAACATCTAAAACACTTGGCACCTAAGTATTTAAAATTTTGTGCCTCTTTAGACTAAACCTTTTCTTAATCTAATCAAACAAAAGGAATATTTTGAGATACTCACAGTAAATGTCAGGGACAAATGTGAAAGTCGGTGTCATTTCTGAGCTAATGCAGTTGGCAACAATAATTTCCAGTAGCTGACTTATGATCACAAGAATTTTTTCCTTATTACAGGTTAGCCTGTTAAATGTCATCATTCTGATTAACCAACTGCTGCCAGAGCTTCTACAGTAAATAGGACTTTTGCTTTCAGCCCTTTTGAAACCATGATGGGAAATTTGTCAAAGCTACTTGGATCTGGGATGGCCTTCAACACAGATAGAAGCAGAAATATTCACATGAATCCCTTTGGTTGTAATTTATTGACCTCTTTTTGAAAGACTCACCATTAGACATTTTTAAAGGTATCTCCCTCCCTTAAACAGAAGGGAGAGGTGCTTGTAGAATACTGTTCTGAGAATCAATAACCTGTGGCCGTCACTGGATTGGTCTCTGATCTCTTCCTACCCTAAGTAGGATTTCTGAGATGAGCGCATGTGGAAAAGTCAAAATGCAGTGTCTGCTGTAGGAGGGTTCAGGAAAATTGTTCTAAAACTTAGAACTCTAAATTGCATCAAACAATTAAAACAGAAAATATGTTATTTTGTCAGGATCAACAAGCAGTCAGAACTACTCTGAGCTATGTCCATAGCACTAGAATTTGGAGTTATCTCTAGAAAGAGGCCAGAGATGTTACGTGCTATCAAAAGGATACAATATAGAAGGTATATCAAGATTCTTATAGTCGGATGCCAATAACTAACTTGCAGTTCAGTGTTCCTTTGTCCTTTTCTTGCTAGTGCATTCTATTGATGCAGAATTCTTCTGGTTGGAAAGATTTGATCTTAGTGAAATGACATGAGATCAGTATAAAAAGCAGAAAAAATAGGCCCAGACTTTGGTAGATGTGCCTGTTTATTCTTGCTAGTGCATTCTATTGATGCAGAATTTAGTTAGCAGGCAAGGTAACCAGTTTCATTGTGAAGTTGTCATACATATGTCTTATCACACATTACTCTCATTTGCTTCCCACTGCCCTCTTCCTCCCCCTCTTTTGCTGGTCTCCAGACAAGAAGGAAAAACAATTTAGGCAGAAAGGATAAGAATAATTGTTCTCTCTCCCTTGTTTTTGTTTTAAGATCCTACTAAGTAGTTCAAGCCAGCCTCAAACTCATGATTTTCCTGCCTCAGCCCTTGGAATGCTGGGAATACTGGGATGGAACACTATGCCCTGCTTATATTTAACCTCTGTAAGACTCCCTTTCCTTATCATTAAAATAGGAAGGGAAACTGATGAAGATCTGAAAGACATGCTGCTATTTGCATGCTTATTAAAGAAAGTGATGGCTGGTAATGTCCATCAGGGAATAATTGGCTTTGGTGGCTTCTCAGACAGCGTTGAGGTTGGCAGCTATGATGGTCATTGCCTGCTCTTTCTTTTGCCAGATTTACTTTCTGGTAATAATGTATGTAGGTTCAAGCATTGATAAAGTTCTTTCTTTGCCTGGTATGCTAGCACACATCTTCAATGCCAGCCCTTAGGAGGCAGAGGGAGACAGATCTCTGTGAGTTCTAGGCCAACTACAGCTATATAGTGAGACCTCTTCTCAAAGAAAAAACAGAAAACAAAATTCTTTTCTTATTCCATTTGTTCTCACCTCCAGTTGGCTCAACTCTAAACTTTAAACACTGGTAATTTAATTTTTGGCATGCCTTAGCAATCATATGCTTCCTAATATAGCTTACAAAAACAATAATTGAAAGCATGAATGTCACATAGTTTTGTTCGCTAGCCTATTCTAGACTCACAAGGGATAAGGAATAAAACAAGAATGGATCTTTTTTTAAAAAATTCTTTCCTATGGTGGGACACTTTGCACAGCCTTGGTGCAGGGGGAGGGGCTTGGACCTGCCTCAATCGAATGTACCAGGCTCTGCTGACTCCCCATGGGAGACCTAACCTTCTTGTAGGAGGGAATGGGAGGGGAGGCTGAGGGGGGAGTGGGAGGAAGGAGGAGAGGGGGGTCTGTGGTTGGTATGTAAAATGAATAAAAATAAAAAATTATTCTCTCATATATTCCATCGTGACTGCAATTTTCCTCCTCCCAGCCCTCCCCCACCTCTCCTCTCCTCCAGATCCATTCTTCCTCCATTTCCCCTCAGAAAAGAGCAGGGCTCCCTGGGATGAATATTTCTTTCAAATTCTAATCTGTCTGAATTGTGTATTTACTTACGATGCACCACTGAATAAGAACCCTGTGATCACCTCCTGAGCAGGAATTGCTTTTCTCATCACTGAATAGAATCAAATCATTCTCTCAAACATCAACATGATTCAATTCCATTTATCCAGTGTCATTATTTTATAGCGTATTTGTTAGCCACCATGAGTCAGACTTTAAGAAATGAACCATAATTTCTAATCATTGATTAAGCATAACTGAGTGACTCTGCACCGGAGAACATGCTGGAGATAACATGGGAGCCCACAGTTAACAGGAATACCTTCAAGAGGCACATATGCACGGGAATTAAGATGCCAAACAGTACACTCTGTAGTCAAAGAGGAAACAGCTTGTCAAAACCTGTATGGAAACAGGGACTGAGGAGAGCAAGACAGACAAGGCCTGTGCTTGTCAAGAAAGGCCTGAGTGGGAAGGCGGAACTTCTGTACCTAAAGGCGAGGAGGACTGACATGGAGAAAGAATGGTAAAGAGATGGAGACGGAGGAAGCAAATGACTTAGATGTGCATGTAAATTTGATCAGAGTGCTGATGAAAACTGGGAAATAAAGTTGGAAAGGTAGCGTGAAGCTCAGTTGAATGACAACAGAGTTAGACAAGTTGGGATGTGGGCACTAGACCTAGTGGACTCCTGCAGGTTTGGGGGGAAGGTGCACACTGAGCCCTAGACAACTTGCTGTGATTTGCATTCCTCATCGTTTTCCTCATAAACATTTCCTGGCTGGTGTCTTTGGCTGCTCTCAGAGTTGGAATGTGCTTTCTCCTATCATTCAGGAAAAGTACCGCGTCATCAGACCTCATTGACCAGGAGGCAGGACGAGGAACACTGAAAAGCGGCTACAGCAATGGTGGAATCCCAGTCACTCAGAGGTCACCAGCCCCAAGTGCTCGTAGTGTGAGCTCCATCAGCAGTAGAGTAAGTAAACGACTGTGAAGACACACCCAGTCTCTGGGACTTGGCTTTACCACCACCCATGACTCGGTTTGAATTCTCTGCCTCTCATAGCATGTTGTTTATACTGTTGAATGGAATGTATCCTTAGCTTTGGGTCAGAAACCCTAAGTGAAGACAGAAGGGCAAGCCAGGTTTTAAAGGATCTTTAAATGGCTGTGCAAGTTAAATATGAAGAGTTTGTTGGAGGTTCTGACTTTCATCCTTCATGTTATTTCTCAGAGGACATATTTATAAATTAGCTGTACTAAATTTTTCCTAAGATGATTGATATTCTATAGGAAAAGTAGAACCTTGGAGTCATTTTATAATTTTCTTTTCTTTCTTTACATCTGTTAAAATGAGAGGTCAATCATATAATAAAGTCTTAAATTGCTATTATATATGTGTATGTATATATATATATACATACATATAATAAATGAGAAATTATTTTTGTATCACATTTTTTCTTTTAAGGAAGAAAAAGCACCAAACATTTGGAAATAATGCTTTCTTTTATTAACTATTCTATTGGAAGTCATTCTTGGAATATGTTACCGTCTATTAGATTTTTTATTAAGGAAGAAATTCAATATTGCTGGAATTAATATTTAAGAAATCATTATATATAAACTTTAATACTTCAATTCAGCCATAATTTAGTGAAGTGAAACTTCCTGAGACACCCTAGACATGCAAAGATTTAAAATAAGTGAAAGAATCAGCCATGCCAATGTCTAGGTGGGCAAAGTGTCCTCCAGACAGACTAAATCAACATCCGAGAGATACAAAGAAGGCTGATCCATCTTTAATGATCAGTGCCCTGGCTCAAATAGTTTGTAAAATATCTGTACACTTCATGAGGAGCTGTCAGCATAAAGAGCCTGATGTGGGCATGCCCAATTTGCTAAAGAAGACTGAAAAGGCCAGTGTCCTGTTGTTAGTAAATGGAGAAAGGAGTACTTCTATATGAATTCAATGAAGTCATGAGTCAGAAAGGACCTTGAAATTGACGCTATAGGCTTTCATTAGTTAGTCTGGTTAAGACTGGTGAAGCTGTAGGGCTCATGTAGCACAGTAATATAGTCTAGTATCTGTTTAGGCAGGATCTTGGGAGGGGGCTGCTGAGGAAAGTAAATGAAGCCTGTAGACCATTTAGGAAGCCTTTGCCATAGTACAGCCATTAAAAGGGGCTTGAGAACAGGGAGGTAGCAGTAGGGTTGGGAGTGAGCAGTCAGAGTGTTTCAGTATTTTGGAGGAAGAATCAAAACACATTCAGACACATTGAATATCATTGATTGATCTGTTTCAATATAGCCTAAATTGTACTTCCTTAGATAAAAAGCATATTTTGAGTTTCATAAATATTTATGCTAAGTTCAGCAGCTGGCTTCTGCTCAGCTGTCAGAAAAGTGCATAGATTGTTGATGACTATATTTTCTTCTTCGGTAACCTAACAAGGAGTAACATTTAACATATTTATGAGCTGGTGGTGAGGACACACTGACCAATCAGAGCAGACTTGTATGAGGCTCAGGGGCGTTGCATGCCTTATAAAGAGAATTGTGGGCAAAGAAAGGCATGAAGAAAGGGGGTGAGTAGGATGAACATAATAATAATGTTTACCAGCTATTATGATATGAAACTATTCATTGGGAAGGTTTTCTCTGCATATACAGTGAGGAGGTGGAGTTCGTTCCTATGTTCTAACTGGTCTAAGCTGGTGTTTTTAAAGAGGAAAAATACTTTCTTATTAATAAGTCAGTAGAGTAATTTATAAATCACATTGCTTGTGTGTGTGTGTGTGTGTGTGTGTGTGAGCTCACAATTTCTCCTATAAGTGAAAACCTTTTGAATATCTCTGTTTATGCTATGATATAAACGGCTAATTTTAGGCTTCATCTCCTGAAGCTCCAGTGAAGTAGTTCTCACCCTTCCCAATGCTGTGACCCTTTAATACAGTTCCTCATGCTGTGGTGACCCCAATCATAGAATTACTGTGTTGCTACTTCATAACTATAATTTTGCTACTGTTAGGAATTATAATGTAAATACCTGTGTGTTTTTTTGTTTTTTGTTTTTTGTTTTTTGTTTTTTGTTTTTTTGAGACAGGGTTTCTCTGTGTAGCTTTGCTCCCGCCTTTCCTGGAACTCTCTTTGTAGACCAGGCTGGCCTCGAACTCACAGATCTGCCTGCCTCTGCCTCCCGAGTGCTGGGATTAAAGGTGTGCGCCACCACTGCCTGGCAATACCTGTGTTTTCTGATGGTCTAGGTGACTCCCCCCATGAAAGGGTCATTCAACGCCCAAAGAGGTCTTGCCACAGGTTGAAGACCCTTGTTCTAGATTATGTGTTACATGTTAATGACTGTACAATGTTAGTTGACCTATTAATGGTCAATATTAATGGTGGCACCAGATCACCTGTGGGAAAATTTGTCATCACCATAATTGCCAGTAAGGAGCTTAGTCTTGCTTCATTAGGGGACTTCCATGTGTGATGAGCTGTCAAAACTGACCTAAACTAATTCATGCATTGGACCTTTGTCACACTCTGGATAAACTTTGCTAGTCTATGATAATTAGAGGAATTAGAGGAAACGTACTTTCTGCTATAGGTCTTACATGTTTGAAATAATGAAATACTGCAAGCAGTCTACTGGGTGAATTTATTAGCATGCTAAGCAAGTAAGAGCCAGATCTATCTGTGGAGACTTTATTAAAGTATTCCTGAATATTGAAGATGTCAGGCAACCAGGAGGGAATTCATCCTGTAGGCACCGTTTAACTGTTTATAACAGAAAGAATGATAAAATCTCTCTTAAGTTTAACAGTTATCATGCCATGTTGCCATCTTCGTTGACATTTAACCTCAGCCTAGTTCTCAAGAGGACCACAGGTGTTTTTTTAATATTAAATAAAGCTTAGTGCCAGGAGGTGGTGGCACACACCTTTAATCATGGCACTTGGGAAACAGAGGCAGGTGGATCTCTGTGAGTTCGAGGCCAGCCTAGTCTACAGAGCAAGTTCCAGGACTGTCAGGGCTGTTACACAGGGAAATTCTGTCTAAAACCAAAAAAAACCTTAGCTATATAGTGTCCCCCAGACATGACAGAGAAAGTGTACCTATGAAATGTCAACAATATGGCTGCTAATGGGGAGAATCAGTTTCCTCCAAGGCTGAGTTCCCTCATAGGTTTTCCAGTCTCAGGTGGTCAGCCCTGGACACAAATGTATCTATGATCAATGCTAAATGGACTCAGTAAGCTACACACACACACACACACACACACACACACACACACACACACACACACGAACTATTATTTTATATATTCAATGACTGTCTAATATTAATGATAGATTAACAATAACAATAAAGGAAGAGATCATTAATTTGGGAATGAATCAAGAGATGAGTTGAGGGATAGAGCGATGTGGATGGAAGTGCTCATGTATGAAGTTCTCAACAATTTTTTTTTTTTTTTTACAAAAGTAAGCTTAGACTGACCCTATAGGAATCAGCAGAGCTGGGACAAGGTTTTGTTTTTGTCATATCATACAATGAAAGCCGGTCTCAGACTGTATTCTGCCACATGTACAAGCATTTACTTGTCGTTAGGCATCCCTGAAATCACCTAAGGCACTAAGTTGAAGAATTACCTGCTGTGTCCTGCATGGCTGTTGGAATTGTCTGAACCAGGGCAGTGAGGGAAGGAAGAAAGGACAAACATGGACATAGGGAAAAGCTGGGATCAGGTCTAGTGGGCTCTCTGATGGGAAAGCTGCAAGCCCCATCACAAGCTTAGGCTGTTTGTATAACAGTCGAATAGGGAGGTGGGTTTGTTGCATACAGCAGAACAAGGAGAAGGGGTTATTATATGCAGTTGAAGAAGGATGCAGTTTAGTTAATCTCAGTAGGATCATTCTCTGTAGGGAAGCAGTCTTCTAGCCATTGACACCAAGGGAAAATAAAGCTACAGTATATATTTTCTGCACACACTATCAACATTTGTATGTATACAAGAAGAAGGCTTTGCCATTCCTCTGAGTCTCACCTAAGGAAGGATTTGCTATTGCCATGGTGATGAGGCATTGGTCCTTGACATGGCCATTCTCATGTTAAACAATACACATTCATCCAGGACTTTATCTGCTCCCTACAGGGCTCCCTACAGGTCTCCGTTCTTATAAACACTGATAAGCATCATGCATGACATTTATATTTCAACATACATGTAACCATATTTTGATCACCCAGCCTTCTAGATGGAAAAGGTGACAGGGTCTTAGGTTAAATGTGGTCAGAGAAAGTACGGTGTATGTGAGTCAGCTTTCCAGGGTCTAGTTCAGCAGTTCTCAAACTGTGGGTGACACCCCTTTGGAGGTTGAATGACCCTTTCACAGGGTCACCTAAGACCATCAGAAAAAAAACAAACATATTTACATTACAATTCAAAACTAGCAAAATTACACTTATGAAGTAACAATGAAAATAGTTTTATGGCTGGGGTTACCGCAGCATGAGGAACTGTATCAAAGGGTCACAGCATTAGGAAAGTTGAGAACTACTGCTCTTGCTAGACAAAAACTAATAAAACAAGGAGTCTAATTCAGTTTTCCATTATTGTCACAATGCTTGAGGTACAAGAACATAAAAAGAAAAGTTTGCTTTAGCTTACAGTTTGGGGGATTGCAGGTCAGAAAAAAAAAGAAAGAGAAAGAAAAATTGCTACTCTTTTATCACTAGTTTCATGGATGAAAAAAGTAGTCAAATATGTTTCATGTTAAATTGAAACCTTCTTGGATTCAATTTTATACAGTAACTTTTGAAGTGTGGGCTTCTGATAAGGCTCCTTCAAATGTTATTTCATTCCTCCCCCTGCAAATAATACATATGAATATCTTTATACTAGAGCATATTTATATGAAAAGGTTTTAAGAGAAATCAGTCAGTATAATGTTTCTTTTTTCATTTTTTACTCTGTGGGAAGGAACATGGTTTTGAAAATTCCATGGCTTCGGCTGCCAGTGAAAGCGCCTCTGAGGAGCTCAAGAAGAGTCACCGCAGAAACACATCTATTACACCCTCCATAGCAGTGTCTGGTGCCTCTGTTTCCTCAGGTAGGTGGTTACAATATGAGTGCCGTACTGTTAACAAAAGACTAATCAAATTGAGTTTCCCACTTTATATGGTATTGAGTAGATGTTTTATACTTGAGAAAACAATCATCCATTATAGTAATAGGACAAAGCATAAGCATTTTCTAAGGGTGGTCCCAGGTAACACCTTAGGCTCACTGCATTTTAAAACATCTACTTATTGAATGTATATCTTTGCTATAAGCTGTGGTTAAGATTCAAAGTTATACCAGATTATCATATAGAAAGACAGAAAACACCAATAGTTCTAGGGTACATTTGATATGACAGGCAATAACTCGTGCCTAGGGATCAAGAAAATGATAGTTCAATCTATAGAATGACTAGAGATTCCATAGTCCCAGAAAAAATTGTTTCATTCTTTAAATTGGAATTAGTTGTAAGTAGCTTGGCCTAGTTTGCTTTCTATTGCTGTGATAAACACCATGGCTAAAAGCAACTTGGAGAAGAATGGGTTTATTTCCTTGTATAGCAATTTATAGTCCATCGTGAAGGGAAGGCAGGACCTAAAGCATAGACCATGGAAGAATGCCGATTACTGGCTTGCTCCTCATGGCTCACTCAACCTGCTTTCACATACACCCCAGGACCACCTGCTGAAGGGTAGTACTGGACACAGTGATCTGCTTCCTTCCATATTAATATCAGTCAAGAAAATGCCCTACATGCTTACCTACAGGCCAATCTGATGGAGGCATTTTCTCAACTGAGCTTCCCTCTTCCCAGTAATAACAGTTAAAAAAAAAAGAGGGTAGGGTGTGTACATGGGATGGTTTGGAGGGAACTAAGGGAAGGGGGAAGTGATATAATTATACTATAATCTCAAATATATATATATATTAAAAATAAGTACAATGTCATCTCAATAAAAGGAATTCCATGATACTTAAAAAACTAACCAGCACATATATTAAGGATATTAGTAATAAGTCTTTTCATTTATATGGATATTATTTACATTGAAGTTTATTACCTATAAGTAGGAAAATTCTTCAGAGAAATATATAATTATTGTAATGTTTATGTCCTATACATTGAACTAAATTCATAATTAAATCCTCAACATTAAGCCATTATCTGTTGCCTAAGGGTAATATCTGCATGCAGTCTAAGGCTAAATTCTGGCTTGTAACTTGAATGACAAAGAAGCCTTTCCTAGGCAACAGGCTGCAAAAGGGGTTGTGTGTACATGATTTTGTGTGTTTGTGGGTGTACCCATGTACATGTGTGGCACTGGGAATCAGAGCTCTCTAAAGTATAAGTTCTCAAAAATAGGCCAATAAGATGGTGCAGTGGGTAAAGGTACTCGCTACCCAACATGACAACCTGTGTTCAGTTCCCTGGGACCCACACGATGAAAGGAGAGAACCAACTCCCAAAAGCTGTCCTGTGATTTCACTCTTGTGTCATGGCACATGTGGATGTGTACATACATTAAATAGATGAATGGAGTTTTTAAAGAAAAAGATAGGAAAGGAGTTCACCTGTTCAATGGAAAAGTTTAACATATCCTAGAAAGTAAGATCATAAAGTCAGCTTCTACTGCATGTCTTCCCCAACTCCTCATCATTTAGTACATACTCCGCCCGGCACGGTGCTAAACACTTCTCATCACTGCATTTGCCATTTCAAACTCAAGTATTTGATTGCTCTCTCCAGTCTCTATAAGCAACTATATTTGTCTCAGCAGGATTTAGAACAGAACTATTCTGTGGAAGTAAACTGCCCTGACTTGGTAAGCTGTCTACAGCACTGTCCAGAAGCACATCATTTGTTAACCGATATCTTAAAAACTGAAATCAAGATATTCTATTGATTAAGGAATGTTCTAGTAACTAATGAAATCCAAACCTCGCAGTCTTTCTATAGTCACTCCCTTTTGCATGAAAGGAAGTCATATTTGAAAGTGGAAATTTATGATCAGTTGGCCTCATTTTATGTCAAATGTAAAAACACAGTGAATTCTCTTCAAGAATAATAAGTTCATGAAGCTTAAGAACCCAATCTATGAGCATTTTTAATATTTAGGGAAGAGTAAATCAGAATCTTTAAACAGCTTAAAGCTACCTGTGGATTTTATAACAGAGCACTTAAACCCTGTGATCAAAGGACAAATGAGCACAGATGTGTTCATGTTCATATCAAGGCAATTTCCAAAATACTATGAAAATGTAAGTATGTTAATGTAAAGCAGCATGGAGTTTGTGAGCCTCGATACTATTTCCATTGCATTGCATGTCTCTCTCTCTCTCTCTCTCTCTCTCTCTCTCTCTCTCTCTCTCTCTCTCTCTCTCTCTCTCTCTGTGTGTGTGTGTGTGTGTGTGTGTATGCATGTCTCAATTGAAATATTGAAATACTGAAATATTTGCAATGGAAATGCAGAACCATGACAAAATAGCTTATTTGCATCTGCATTTCATATTTATCCCTCCAGACTGGAGTCAATCTGAGTTAGATTTGAGTGAGTCATTTACAGAAGACTTAGAGGACACTTCAAGTGTAAGAAGCAGATCTGTTCCTGGGGCATTAGACAAAGACTTGGTAAGTTGGATGTGGGAGAAAGTTCAATAAGACATGGAAAGGAGCACATGATCTTGCTTCAAGCATTTGTACTTTTAGGTGATAAGTTGCGAGTAAAATTAAGACATACAGTGTGTCTTTCTGGTAGTTTTCACAATCAAATATAAAAGCAACTAAAACACTACAATTGAAAAAATAAAAACAGTACTGCAAGTAAAATTACATTGTGAATATATACATATAACTTGAAACAATATAAAGTAACTTAGCAATGAATTAAAAATGCTATAGAAGAGAAAGTACATTTTGTTCAAAATATGAATGGAATATTTAATATGTATATGAAATGAAGTAACATTATATTCCAAAAATTTATTAAAGAATATATAAAACTGTTTTTTAAAGAGCCAAATACTTGTGATAAAATTTTAGTCATAACTATAAAATTCTCCTTTAAAACTGATGAAAGCCATTTAAATATGATTTCAAAATATTACATATCAAACAGTCACAGTATATGCCATTTTAAATGGTGATGTTATTAAGCCATTTCCACTACAACTTAGAAGACAACATGGATTTTTCACTGTTATTTTTATTAGTTAATAATATTCTAGAGGTTTGGAAAATGCAATAAGATAAACTAGAAATGTTTCTATAAGTTTCTAGAATGTTTTATAAGGGTCCACAGTAAGTGGGGCTCTTTCACGTTAATATCAATCAAGAAAATGCCCCACAGGCTTGCCCACAGGCCAGTGTAACAGAGACATTTTCTCAACTTAGGTTCCTTCTTCCCAAATGGCCCTAGCATGTGTCAAGTTGACACAGAACTAACCAGAACAACAAACATTAAAAAAGAAATGACATACTAAAAATGGAATTGAAGAAGAGATTGCAGCTTGTCTTTTTTTTAGGTTTCCAAACTTTTTTTTTATTAAATTTTTTTCATTTATTTTACATGCCGACCACAGTTTCCCCTCCCTCTTCTCCTCCTGTTTCCTCCCCCCATCTCCTGTCTATCTGCCTCCCCCCAACCATTCCTCTGTCTCAGTTCAGAAAGGGGTAGGCCTCCCATGGTAGTTAATAAAAGAAGTTGAGGCAGGACCAAGCTCCTCCTCCTGCATCGAGGCTGGCCGAGCAACCCAGCATGAGGAATCAGAATGTTGACTACCCTAATTGTCATCAGAGAGACTTCATTCAATAACTGGTGGAAGTAGATGCAAAGATCCACAGCCAAGCACTGGACTGAGCTCTGGGAGTCCTGTTGAAGAGAGGAAGGAGGGATTGTAAGAGCCAATGGGGTCAAGGTCGTGACAGGGGAACCCACAGAGACAGCTGACTTGAGCTTGTGGGAGCTCATGGACTCTGGACCCACAGCTAGGGAGCCTGTATGGGACCAACCTAGGCCCTCTGCATGTGAGTGACCGTTGTGTAGCTTGGTCTGTTTGTGGGTCTCCTAACAGTGGGATCAGGACCTGCCCCTGGAGCTTGAGCTGGCTTTTGGTAACCTATTCCGTATGCAGCTTGTCTGTCTTAGTAATGATTTTACAATTGTCTGCTTATGATTGGCTGAGACTTAATTACTGTTACAATACTAGGTTACAGCTATTTACATATCAAGTTAGGTTGCAGTAGGTAGGTTGTATGGAAAAACCTTTAGGCCAAACTTAAATTGTGTGTGGAAGCCTCTTCAGGTCAACCTTAAAATTTCCCATGGAAAAATCCAAGATGTGGATAGTTTTGCTAATGAATTCCATCAAGTATTTGAGCTTATTGCGGTTATAGACAGTGTCACTCTGTAACCCAGACTAGCCTGGTACTATGTAGCCCAGGCTGGCCTTAAACTTGCATGCAATCCTCTGGCCTTAACCTCCCAAGTAGTGATGTTACAGGTGTGAGCCACCAGGCCTGGTCCATTAAGTATTTGAAGAAGAAATCATGGAATTCACAAATTTATTCAGAAAGTTGATGGGGAAGTATTTCCACATTGATTATGTGTCATCCATTACTTCACTGGTTAACAAAGCTAGATAGGCATCAGAAGAACAGAAAACAGTATCTCAGTACACATAATGAATACAGGTGCAAATGTCTTTAATAAAATCACAGTAAGCCCCATTCTGTAAATAAATAAGTATATTAATTAATTAATTAATTGATTAACTAATGGGTCAAATACTATAACTAAGTGAGATTTACTCCATAAAAGCAAAGTTGATTGATCATTTAAAAATAAATGAATGTAGGGGCTGGAGAGATAGCTTAAAGGGTAAGAGTGCTTGCTGCTCTTAGAGAGGACCTGAATTTGTTCCTAGTACCTAACTCAGTTGTCTCACAAGCACTTATAATTCTAGTTCCAGGGGATCTGACACCCTCTGCTGGCCTCTGTGGGCACATACACATACAAATAAAATATGAAACTTTTAAATTAAATGAATCTGGTACTAAAAAGTTATTAGCCATAACATCTCAATAGGAGAGGAATTGTTTGACAAAAATCCCACTTGTATATATACTAAAACCTCAACAAACTAGAAAGAAGGAGAATTTCCTCAGCCTGATGAAGGGCATGTGTGGACAGTACAATGGACATGATACTTAATGGCAAAAAATGAATAAATACTAAGTCTAGTAAACAAAGCAGGGTTCCTTCATTCAGCATTACACAGGAAGAATGGAAAGGGAAAAGTAAAGGTTCTCAGTGTCAATAATTTTTAGATGATGTGATCCTACATGTAGAAGATCCTAAATGATATAAAAATATGATATGACTGCAGCCAATTCATTGAGGTTGCAAGACAAAAGATTAATATATAAAATTCAATTTTATGTTATATACTATCAGTAAATAACTGGAAAACCAAGTTAAAACTGTAATACTATCAATAACATGAAAAACAGTTGAAAAAAGTGGGAAATGAGTATATTTTCAAAAGTATGAGGCATACTTTGTAACTTACAAATTTTTAAAAAATATTTATTATGTATACAGTATTTTGCCTGCATGTGTCCCTGCATGCCAGAAGAGGGCGCCAGATCTCATTACAGGTGGTTGTGAGCCCCTGCGTGGGTGCTGGGAATTGAACTCAGGACCTCTGGAAGAGCAACCTATGCTCTTAACCTCTGAGCCATCTCTCCAGCCCCGACTTATAAAATTTTATTGAACTAAATTAGAAGCCTGAATAAATGGAGAAATACTTTGTTTATAGGTTAGAAAATTTTGTGTTTTTAAGATGAATAATACCAATCAAATTCCACTAAGATATTTTGTATAAATGGACATGAGAATTCTGAAGTTCATATGAACATGCTAGGAGCCCAGAAAAAAATTTTAATAACAAAGTTGGATGATTTACACTACTAGATTTTAAGTAACTTCAACTATGAATAAGTATAAGTATAGGTAATACATGGAACTGAATTGAAAGTCTAAAATTCAACTATTTCATTTAGAGTCACAAGTGCATATAGTCATATAGTCTCTTGTGATTGGGGAAAAGTAATCTCAATGAATTATACTGGGACAATTGGATATCTGTATGCCAAAAAACATGCACAAAGGCTCTTATTTGCATCACATATATCATGCATAAAATTTACAAATCAATTCAAAATTAGCCATCCAAATGTAAGAACTAATGCTGTACAATTCTCAAAGGAAACCTAGGAGAAAATCTTCACCACAGCAGAACTCTTAGACAGAGCTCCATAATTATAACACATAATACAGCTAAGAAAAACTGAATTTCATCAAGATTAAAAGCATTTGTACTCCTATAAACACTGTTACAAAAATGGAAACAGACCTCAATATTTATGAATCATATATTTGGGAAGAACTTCTGTCTTGAGCATATGTATGGGCACCCTACATTGAATAGTAAAACAACAAATAGTCATCTTCATGTGTAAAAGACTTTAAGGTTGAGTGGTTGGCACTATGGATTCATTATATTAATCTTTCTACTTTTCTGAATGCATGAACACGCTCTGAACACATCCCATTTCATCTGGATGCCTGAAAGTTTTCATAATAGTCTAGTTTTAAAAGAAAATCAAGAAACACGACAACTAGCAGTTTGTGTTGTAACCGCTTTGCAATCGCACACTCAGAAGTAGGAAATGTAAGAAATACAGAAAAGGTACTAGTTGATGCAACAGTAAGGATGTTTTTGCCATACTTTAAAGAAATGTCTAGTTTGAAAGTATCCAAGATGATAAATAATTAATTCACACCTAGAAACATTAAAGTCAAAGACTATCAAATATAAGAGAAAATTCTTAAAAACTTATAGAAATAAATCTTATTTTATACAAATAAACAAGAATCAAATTAGTATCAGTTTTCTATGGTGATACTGAGTACAAGATGAAAACAGTAATATTTTCAAAGTATTGAAGGAAAATTACTTTAAACCCAAAACTTTTAAAAAGTCCATTTAAAGGTAACAGGGCCTTCAAGACATACCAAACAAATGGCTACATAGAAGGCAGTTTAGGTTCAAATATAATTACAAAAAGAAAGAAATCTTAGAACTGCTTCAGAAGATTTTAAAAGCAAATATCATTATATAAATTGGTAAAGTTATATGAATAAAGCTAAGATCAAAGAAGCAGAAAATAAAGGATACATATTAAGCAAGTCTTTAAATTCTGTTAAAAATACCAAAGTCACTGCTCCTATAGCAGTTATATTAAGCATCAAAAACAAAAAGGTGTAAGTTAAAAATCATTCATGAATTTTTATGGTAAAAATACAATGCCAGGTCCTGTGCTCATTGCATGAGTTGGCTGTTTGAAACCTGGGGCTTTTGCAGGGTCGCTTGGCTCGGCCTGAAAGGAAGGGACTGGACCTGCCTGGACTGAGTCTACCAGGTTGATCTCAGTCCTCGGGGGAGGCTTTGCCCTGGAGGAGGTGGGAATGGGAGGTGTGCTGGGGGGAAGGGGAGAGGGGCGGGAGGGGGGAGAACAAGGGAATCCGTGGCTGATATGTAGAACTGAATTGTATTGTAAAATAAAATAAAAAAATACAATGCTAAAAATTATTCAGATAAGAAATAAATCATAACAGAGTGCGTGGAGAGAGACTAGAGAGAGAGAAAGTGTGTGTGTGTGTGTGTGTGTGTGTGTGTGTGTGTGTGTGTGTGTGTGTGTAGGTGCAAGTCTTAACTAAAAATAACAAGTATATTGTCCAAAGTGGATTGCCTTAGAGACTAGGGAGGTGGGAATTAAACCCAAGTCTGTAAGATTCCAAATTTCGTCTTTCCATCAAGCAAGTATTGCCAGGAAAGAGACCCTACAATGCCCAGACCCTGTCTATTCCTTTGATTTCATGATTAAGATTAACTGGAAGTGTGAAAATCTAAACCTAAAAGAGTTTCCTTCTCTGTTTTTCTTTCATTTTCCATGTGTTAGTGAAATTAATCTTTTTTCATGTAAAAGAAATCCTCCTGGGGTAGAAATAAACTGTATCATTGGTGTTTACATCCTTTCCTAGAACTCCCTAGAAGAGGCTGAAGATGGTGCTGATGACTTAGTGTCCTCTGGGTTTTCTGCAAACCCCCACAGTCTGGCAACTGGTCTGTCAACGGTAAGCATTCTCCCGGAACTTTCTCTTGCTCATTCCCTGTGCATTTTCAAGAGACAGGAAGTTGTGCTCATATGTCCCAAGCTGTTGTAAGTTCCTGCTTGCCCTATGCCCATACACCACCTTGCACTCTATTTTAATTCCTGAAGCCTTCCTTCCTCTGCCATGATCCTCAGGCAGCTTTTGAACTCTCTTCATTCCCCTTTTATAAAGAACTGGAAAAGAGGAATTTGAAGAGTCACAACACAAAGAATTAAATGGTAAAGGAGATAGAAAGGCTAATTGCCATGATATGACCATTGACAGTTGCATGAGTCATTTGGTAGAAACATACACAATTGCTTCATAAACACCTGTCAAAATTCTTAAATTTCTTTATTTTCTAACTTAGGCCAAGTCATCTCAAGTCTATAAATTATTCTAGTTCCCTGTTGATAAGTTTCTCCCCAATGGCTCTCCACACTACTGCAAGCCGTTTTCCTACAAAATACCCCTACTTTGATTTCTTTCCTGTTTAAAAGAACTGTCCAGAGCTTCCCACTGTCTTCAGGGAAAATTCTGCTCTGACCTTGATTTGAAGCTCCCCCTTGAGGGCAAGCCTTTAGCAACCAACATGCCATTGTATCTACCTGTGTACCTGTGCATTTCTTTGCTTCTCTGATTTCTATGCTCTAATACCCTTTTTCTTTTGGTCATTGGATGGCATCCTTAAAGAACTCCCAAGCAGGATCTGATAGGAAGAGGAGCTACCTAAATGTGCCTGATGCTGATTCAGACACCGTGAGTCTTCACCCTTGCTGTTCCCCTCTTCTGAACCATACTTCATAAGCTCCATGGTTTGGGACATGTGGTTGAACGAGCAGTTCCATCTGTTTTCTGGCTGATATACAGATGGGATTTATGAGCTGATACATCTCAAGTATTCCAGTTCATTAAATGTTAAATCTGAGTACCAGTCAAAAGACATGTCCCAAAATGGTTTATTGATAACATGAGCATCTCCATTTTAAGTCACAGCTATGTCTTGATAAAGAAAAGTGGTTTATTAGTAGTAAAATTGTCATAACTACTTTAAATCCCCCTAAGTCTCAGTTTCGTGACTTCTTAAATTTTCTTCTACTCATAGGGATCCCTCATCCCTCTCTGATCATATAGTTACAGAGGCTTGTGTTGAAAAATATGGGTCAGTTATACAAGGAGGCAGTGAGTTGTGGTCCATAGGACTTTTGACTAGAAACCCAGAACTTTCCTCTATGACTTAGTATTACTAACAAATTTGTGAAGTAGAGTTTCTTCATGTGTAATATGGTTGAGGTTAATTCATGAAGGTCTTAAGATTTGAACCATTGTCCATGGATCAACACTATGGTATAGTCATGGACCCCAAACTTTCTCAATTTATACAGCCCCTAGAATCTCAGTAATTCTCTAATGTAACTCCTACGTGAAAAATAAGTACTGGTTTCTCAAAAACTTAATAAGCACTTACATCCTCTGAACTTAGTAGCTATTTGGAAAAAGAATAATTCAGGTAAATTTTTTATTCTGTTCTTAAGTTGTTCCATGACTTACTAATAGGCTGTATGTACTTGCTGAGTACTATGTAGTTTGTCAGATTGTAGAATCTCATCAGATATCACATGTTAATGTAACATTCCACATTAATGTTTCTGCTTTTTTTTGGCTTGAGAAAAGTTCATTTTGTTTGAGAAATTCAATACCCCTCTGCCTTCATCTCCTAAGTTCTGAGATGATGGATATGTACCACCACAACTCCATTCTATATAGATTTTAATGAAAATTTTTTAGATTGAAGAAATTGTCAAAAGCTCATCATATCACAAATAGTAATTCACTGGAAAAAGCATGATATTAATAATGACACTACAGGCTGCTAGTTAGTGCTTTGCCAACCTTGTATGCTGTCTGATGGATACTGCTGTAGCTGTGTTTCCCTTTCAAATATATTTTGGTACTCCCATGAGTTTACAGTGGTACCCTGGGGTACAAGCACACATTATTTGGATCCATAAGACCTAGCTGTCTGTAGAAAAACTAAAATGTCAGACTATCCCAGACTTAATCGTCATTCTAAAATGATCCCTGGTAGATTTATTATGTAGTTAACATTTAAAAATTCTGTTGCATTACTTTAAGAATAGGAGCAACAAATTCTGTTACTTGTTGGCTCTCTTTAAGAAATAACTTGTATGCAATTTTAGAATTCTTGGTTCATTCTTGCCTTTGACTTTGTTTTAAAAGAGATTATGAGCTAAGTCAGATACATCCTGTTCCTTGAAAAAATACATCTTGTTTGAAACATAATAGCCTTTGTAAAACAATAGCAATAAGATCCAATCATGGGCAGGTAGACAGACACATAGTAAGATAAGTAGAAATATAGATACATAGATACATGCATGTATCCACATATGATATACAACAGATAGATGATCCATAGATAGTTTTCAAGTCTATGTATCTATCTATATGAATGAATGACACTTCTAAGCTCTTTGTACTACTGTAGTCTTTGCTTCTCAGTGGTGAATGAGAAGTAATGAAACTACTGTATCATTCATGAATGTCACTGGTCTTTTGTGTCCATCATGTTACTAAGATAAAAAGTCTTTTTTTTCTAGCACTGAATAATAATGCTACATTGATTTAAAATATGTATCTTATGTTATAAATGTCTTGACAAAATTTTTATTCATCCTTATAGAATTTTTTTATATTTTTGATTAAATGAGGTACTTAATTTTTTGGTGCTATATTTTGGTCATTTACTATTCCACGGAATTTCAAAGCCATGGGTCTTGGACTACCTATGTAGCCACACAGCTACTAATTTGGGGAACTGACACCCTCATGAGTATAGGATGTCCTGCTATGCCTTTGTTAAGGCTGCAGCTATGGCTCCCTGAGAACTGATGGCATACATCCTGTCAGTGTAGAGAAAGACATTTTAAGATTTTTGTTAACTCATAATATGGAGTGAACTTTTCTTTCTCCTGATCGTTATATTCGAGATATTTGAATAGATTGCATTTGAGTCTAGCAGCAAATAGCAGACAGTGACAGGGATGGAAAAGCAAGATTGCACTAGAAATCCCCGCATAACTCTGTATTCATTAGAAGGCATGAGTGAAGGATTTCAGCTAAGCCAGAGGAGATGGTTCCTCTCTCAGCAAGCTTCCTGCCTCCCTTACCAATGGAGCTAAGCAGGGGGTTCTTCTGAGGTTAGAATTTTATGCACCACCAGCAAAACAAAACAAAGCTAGTGACTTGCTGCCTTTCCCCCACCCCTTTGACTCCCCTGCTAGTGACATAGAGCATCAATTGAAATTGACTAAAGAGGGTGGGTTTTGTGAATAGAGCCACAGAAGAGCTCTGGGTGACTTCTTCCATCTCGTTTATTCCAGACCAGCCTTAACAGCATGATGAGTGTTTACAGTGAGACAGGAGACTATGGCAATGTGAAGGTCACTGGTGAAATTCTTCTCCACATCAGCTACTGCTACAAAACTGGTAGCCTCTACATTGTTGTCAAGAACTGCAGAAACCTGGCCATAGGAGATGAAAAGAAACAGAGGACAGATGCGTAAGGACATAGGATGTTCCACAGCTGTCTCCAGCACTGCCTTCTCTGTCTTCCTTTTTCCATGGCATGCACATTTCCTCTTCAGAAGAGATTAAGAATTTCCTTCAGTTAGGAACCTTCTCAGAGCCTGGAGGTGGTGGCGCACACCCTTAATCCCAGCACTCTGAAGGCAGAGTTCTACAGGCAGATCTCTGTGAGTTCAAGGCCAGCCTGGTCTACAGAGCGAGTTCCAGGACAGCCAGGGCTGTTATATAGCAAACCCTGTCTTGAAACCCCCCCAAACAAACAAACAAACAAAAACCTTCTTAGAAAGCTCCTTGCGGCCTGGCATGGTGGTGGTGCACGCCTTTAATCCCAGCACTCACACTCGGGAGGCAGAAACAGGTGGATCTCTGTGAGTTTGAGGCCAGCCTGGTCTACAAAGAGAGTTTCAGGGCAGCCAGGGATACACAGAGAAACCCTGTCTCAAAAAAACAAAACAGAAAAAAAGAAAGAAAAGAAAAGAAAAAAGAAAGCTACATGTAACTTCCTTCCTATACTAGTAAATATTCTCTGGAGTTTGAGTATAAATATTGTTTCCTTGTTTTCCTGATTTGAAAGAAGCCATTATATGATTCAGGACTGACTTTTAGCTTGCACAGAGGCCACTTGTGGAGGAAGAAAAACTGACATATTGGCATACACCACCATTTCTAAGTGTATTGTGCTAATTGTTTAAAATATATTTCATACATTATATTGTGATTATATTCTTTCCTCTCCTAACCCTCCCAGATTCCCCCTACCGACTTTATGTTCTTTCTCTCTCTTAGAACAAAACAAAAGTATGTGTGTGCACACACTCACACACACATCAAAACAAAACCAAAGCATGAAGTTCAATTTGTGTTAGTCAACTACTCCTGAGCATGAAGCCTGCCTTGAAGTATATTTAACTATACCCAGTGTCACTCCATTGAAGAAAGCCACTTTCTCCCAGCAACTATCAATCATAAATAGTTTCTCAGGGAGAGGTGTGACTTTTTATTCATTTCATAGTCTCTTGATTTCAAATGGGTAAATGACAAATACAATTATTTTGGCCAGCATGGAAAGGAACCATCTAAAACCCCAATAGATGTGCTTCAGAACTCTGGTATAATATGTTTCAATTTTGTGCACACCCCTGTCTTCTCTGATGTCCCTGTCCCAAGAGTCTTCTAAGACAGTCAAGGGATTGGGTTGAATTTCTGTCAGATTGTCATTTTCCATTTCTTCCTTTTCACTGTTTTCTTTCATTCACTCATTGCAGTTGGTCCCATGCCCTGACATCAGAAGATAGGACAAGTAATGGAGAGACACATATCCCAGAATGAGTTATGAGATCATTGAGTTAGCAGATTCCATTTGTGTAGTAGTACAAAATGGCAGTTCCTCATGTATGTTTCATGAGTTAGATATTGTTGCTATCCCACTTTCTACACTTGAGGAAACAGACATAGGAAAGGTCAAAGCCCAAGGCTATCAAAACAGTGATACACGGGTGGTCCCAAACAACTTTTCTTGATGCCAGAGCCTGTTCTCTACCAATATACAGCACTGCTTCTTTCTTATAGAAAGCCCATCATTATATTTATGATACCCTATTACACAGACTGAAGTCTCTCCATTCCCATCTCTTATCCACTTACTCCATTCCCTTTACTCACTGAAGTCCTAGAATATTTCTAGCAAAGTATATGTTTGCAAATAATGATTTTTATCCCTTGTTATTCACAGTTATGTCAAGTCATACCTTCTTCCAGACAAGTCCCGAAACAATAAGCGCAAGACCAAAATCAGGACAGGTACCAATCCAGAATTCAACGAAACACTAAAGGTAAATAAATACTATCACAGGGACTCGCATCATACTAACTAGAACCTCTTTGATTTAGAATTAACAACAAGCCAGAAGGTTGTATCAGGGATATTGTTAAGAGTTCAAGGCTAGCCTGAGATAGCATAATGACATTCAAGCAAGTCTGGCCTACAGAATAAGACTAGCCCCTGTATCAAAAATACAAAAATACTAAACAGAAAGGAAGAAATAACTAAATGGAACATTTTTTCATTTCAAAGTTTTTGTGTGTTTTGGAAAGCTGGAATGTGAATGCTATTAGCTTTCCTGGAAATTTCTGGAAAAGAAAAAAAAGCAAACTATCCTTGCTCTGGTCACTCTCCACTGTTGCTGGGATAGTACCTTAAGTCAACATGAGCCAGGGAAATTACAAATTACATCTAGGCTGGTATATCTTGTCACAAAAAATAAGTTGCACCTTTGAGAAATCTGCTTTCTTGGACATTGTCTTAAGTGGAGTTTGTCATTAACTCAGTAAATCATTTTGTACACATTTATTGCTTTGCTAACAAGGGCTATGTGCTGTTTCTTATTAGGATCTCTGAGTTTGGCTAAGTATAGGTATGTTGTTAATGAACACTAGCAATGCAAGGTCAGGTTTAAGAAGTCTCAGAAAATGCCTAGATAAAACATGAACCAGACCTTAGGTTCTAAAGTCTAAAGAAATTTCTATTTTCTAATGGGTAGCCATAAACAATCCCTTCTCTCACTCTGGATCCATGTGGCCTGGTAAGAAATACAAAGGAAGGATAAAATATATTAATAATCATAGGAAAATGCTTGGACTTGTACCCAGAGTAATGGATTCAGAGTCTATCACATTGGGTGGTAGTAATAGAAGAAAGCCATGAGTCTACATGCATTATTAGAGGCATGTGTGGAAGCAGGGGCCAATATTAAGGCAGGCCAAATGGAAAATGAACAAATACAGGCTGAGTGTGAATCCAGTGGTCATAACAGGACAGCAAAGATGAGCCCAAGCAGAACAGATAAACACAGTGACAGATAACTTAAGGGAGTAGAGAGCCAAAGTTAACCGTGATGGTAACAGCTGGGACAGGGATACATACAAAGCCAAGCTTGGAAATCAGTCAGTCTGAAGTGTGACCCAGATGGATATACAGAACAATGGAAGATTAGAGGAGCTGTGGTCAGGTGGCCGTGGTTAACATTCTGCTGGAAAAGAAAAGGCAAGCCCCACAATATTTATTTTCTGCTCAATTTATGTATAGCTTTTAACTTCTACTGGGCTTTATGAAGTTTAGGCTACAAATTTCTCAAGTCAATACTTTTCTGGATTTGAGGATTTTTATTATGAATAAATAAGTTGGAGTATTGTTATATTAAACCTAGAGCTACAAACTAAAAACAAACAGGTAAAAAAAAAAAAAAGAAAAAAGAAAACTAGTTAAAATTGGAAAGAGGCTTCTTCATCACGTAATACTTTCAATATTGTCCCTGAATTTTATTGACCCCTATAATAATTTGTTTATATATGTATTTCTTAACTAGCTATAACCTAAAATGTGTTTTAATGCATATCTTCAATTGTAGCAGAAATAAAAGTGGTTTTTTTTCATATTGCTGATGCCTATGATCTGAAAATTGGTGAAGTAAATTCATCCTGCTCTACATTTAGATAGAACCCTCCCTGAGAAGTATGATTCTTTACATCTCATTTGTAGTATACCATCAGCCACACCCAGCTGGAAACAAGGACTCTGCAGGTCTCAGTCTGGCACTATGATCGCTTTGGACGCAACAGTTTCCTTGGAGAGGTGGAGATTGCTTTCGACTCATGGAACTTTGAAAATCCATGTGATGAGTGGTTTGTGCTTCAGCCCAAGGTAGGAAATACTTCGAGATTAGTCTACCAGCTACACAATTAGACAAACCTGAGCAAAACTGATGTTTCAGGCCTGAAGATGCTGAAGGCTTCTAAATTTCAAGTAATAATCTGCAAAGATTATTATAATCTTTAAAAGATATTATAAATCCATTATTTTAAAAGCTCTTCATAGATACATGTATAATATAAGAAACCATGCAATCATACATGAGTAACTTTTATTACTGAAACTCATTTATCATTTGAAGATCTCCATGGATTACTAAAAAAACCCACACTATATGATCCTATTATAATAAGAAAGTCTTTGTTTTTATGCCATCAAAAACAAATCCATAGAGCATGACCAATCTCAAAACATTATTTCTCTTTCCCATTCTCTACAATTCACAGCATAAGCAGGAATGGTCTCTTTGGCTCACACAAGAAAGTGACCACGAGCCAAAATATTTTTACTTTAGAGGTTCTAGTATGTTCAACCCTAGAACAGCAATGCCTTGGATTCATTATAGTCAACTAAATTTTCTTGACATTTACCATCAGTTTTTAAGTAAGAAGGAGAATGAAAAGGTTACATTTATGCTGTCAGAGATTATTCTTTATATGTAGTGCAAAAGACCATTTGGCAAAGATAGTGAACTGGACTATCATTGGTTCCCTCATGGCCTCAAAATGTCTATGTGACCTTGGCCAAGTTCCTTTCTAACCTTTGGTATTCTAATTTGTAACATAACCATCACCATAGTAGCTGTTGTTGCAACTCCAAGACCTGGGGGATCTGAAGTGCTTGTCCCTCTTAGAGGACTGGTATTATGTTTGAATAAGCATTTTCTGTAAGACTGTCAGCACTGTGTTAAGCACATTGTAAGCTGTCTATAAAAGCTTCTTACCTAGACCTTAGAGTCTCGGCTTTCTACTCTTCTTTGGCTTCAATTTCAGGGTTCACATGTTGTTGACCTCCCTTCCTAGCTCCACGCATCCTAAACCTGTACATTATTATCTCTAAGTGCATGATTATTCCATACTCTGCACTATACTATTCAGAAAAGGAGAATGGTTTTCCAATAGTCAAAGCAATGCCTTTGGCCTGCCTGGTTCTCTTTTAACTCTAATTATACTATCCTTCCCATCATGAGCTAATAACTCACCAATGGGGTAAGATGCATTGGTTGGAATAAAAACATTTAAAACATAGTCTGGTCATAATAATAGGATTTCCACAAAAGAAATCAGACCCAATAGATAGAACTAATGGGAAAGTAAACAATCCTAGAGAGAAAAACCAAGTGATGATTGCCATAGCCCTATTAGTGGCAGCAGTGCTGGTACTTAATAGTCATAACCCCATGAGGTAAGTAATATTCTCCCCATATTATAGATGAAGAAGCTGAGACTTAGAAATTATATTCACAGCTGGGCGGTGGTGGTGCACGCCTTTGATCCCAGCACTCGGGAGGCAGAGGCAGGCGAATCTCTGTGAGTTCAAGGCCAGCCTAGGCTACCAAGTAAGTTCCAGGAAAGGCGCAAAGCTACACAGAGAAACCCTGTCTCGAAAAACCAAAAAAAAAAAAAAAAAAAGAAGTTAAATTCAACTTTCTGGTGGAGTTTTCAAACTACTGGCCTTAATGTTAGTGTAAATAATTCATAAAAATTTTAGGGGATATATTTGGCCTGTATGAAACAAAGTTTTCAAATTCTTAAGCATAATAGTAAGCATATGGCTGACATGAATGTTTGAGAGAAGGAATTACAGTTTTACCAGCAAGAAAATTCATGATATCATTAACTTTTCCTGATATCATATATAAAAAATATTTGGTCATTCAGGATTAGACATTTGTAACTGAATGAAAAGCCTTACCATAAAAGTGTTTAGCAGACTTAGCAGTTTTCTGTATCTTGCATTGTTTTTGTGTAGTATTGTTATCAGTTGTCTGGCTAAGGTATTAAAGATATTAAAGCACTGATATTAAAGATATTAAAGCACTGTTTTGCATAGCTGTTTTGTCACCTGGTGTTTAATAGAAGCAAACAGCAACAGGATGTGGCAGTAACACACACCTTTAATCCCAGCACTCGGGAGGCAGAGGCAGGCGGAGCTCTGTGAGTTCAAGGCCAGCCTGGGCTACAGAGTGAGATCCAGAACAGGCACCAAAACAACACAGAGAAACCCTGTCTCGAAACAAAGCAAAACAAAACAAAACAAAAAAACCGACCAATTTCTTACTGTTCACAATTGTGTTGTATACTAATTGATATCTGAGAAGCTTACGTCCTAAAGACAATTCTATGGAACACTTCTAGTGAATAGTATCAGCAGTTTCCTTTCTCCTATCCTTTTTAAACTTCAGCTCTCCACATTTTTGCTTCTTTCATTCCTCATGGTCTTGCATTTGTACTTTCAAACTGTTCAACTACTTTTATTGTTGTTTTCACTGCTCAGGATGCATCTATTAACACACTTTCATTGTTGTTGCTACTGTCATCACTTTTAAACAAGTCACATAAGCCCTTCTTTCCAAATGTGGGACTGTGTTTGGACCAATCACAACATTTTCGATTTTATCACCAACAGAAGTAAGATTTTATGTAAATTAAGGTTTGTATTTGGATCAATCACAGCATGAACTTTTATACATGTCACAATAACCTTCTATGCAAATGAAGCATTGTGTTTGGACCAATCATGAAGTGGCAAGATTTTTTTACCAGTTAAAAGCCTCTCATGCAAATAAAGGCTTATTTTTGAACCAATTACAGCCATCAATTTTATACATGTCACAAAAAGAAACTACTATGCAAAATCAGGGTTGTGTTTGGGCCAATCACAACATTTTCCATTTTTATCACTGACAGAAATGATCATATTATGCAAATGAAGAGTTATATTGGACCAATCACAGCATTTTCCATAATATCATGGACAGAAATTACCATATTATGTAAATGAGGGGTATGTCTGGATCAATCACAGCACTTATATTTATACCAATCACAAAAGGGCTCATACACAAAAAAGGGCTATGTTTGGATCAATCACAGCACTCACATTAACACCAATCAAAAAAGTCCTCATATGCAAATAAGGGTTGTTTTGGATCAATCACAGCACTCATATTCACACCTATTACAGAAGGCCCATATGCAAATTAAGGCTGCTGTTTGGACCAAACACAGCACTCAAAATTAATCCAAACAATCACAAAAGGCCTCATATGCAAATGAAGGGTGTGTTTGGACCAATCACAGCACTAACATTTATACCAACCAGTTACAAAATGCCTCATATGCAAATGAAGTATGTGTTTGGATCAATCAAAGCATTTAACATTTTACCATGGACAGAAATAACATTCTTATGTAAATGAGGGATGACATTTGAACCAATCACAGCACTTATATTTATACCAACCAATCACAAGCGTCATATGCAAATGAATGATGTGTTTGGCAAATCACAGCACTCACATTTACACCAACCAATCACAAAAGGCCTCATATGCAAATGTAGGATGTGTTTGGACCAATCACAGCATTTTCCATTTTATCATGGACAGAAATAACATTATTATGTAAATGAGGACTTCTTTTTGGACCAATCACAGCACTTACATTTAAACCAACCAATCACAAGAGGTGTCATATGCAAAGGAAGGATGTGTTTCGACCAATCACAGCACTCACATTTGCACCAACCAATCATAAAAAAGGCCTCATATGGAAATGAAGTCTGTGTTTGAACCAATCACAGTATTCACATTTGCACCAACCAATCACAAAAGGCTTCATATGCAAATGAAGGCTGTGTTTGGACAAATCGCAGCACTCTCATTTATACCAACCAATTACAAAGGCCTCATATGCAAATGAAAGGTATGTTTGCACCAACCACAGCACTCACATTTATAACAACAAATCAAAAAGGCATCTTATGCAAATTAAAAATTGTGTTTGGACCAATCACAACACTCACATTACACCAACAAACCACAAAAGGCTTCATATGGAAATGAAAGTTGTGTTTGGACCAACCACAGCACTTTCCATTTTGCCATGGACAGAAGTAACATTATTATGTAAATGAGGAATTGTATTTGGACCAATCACAGCACTTATATTTACACCAACCAATCACAAGATGCATCCTATGTAAAGGAAGGATGGGTTTCAACCAATCACAAAACTAACATTTATGCCAACCAATCACAAAAGAACTCATATGCAAATTAAGGCTATGTTTGGACCAATCACAGCACTCATATTCACACCAACCAATTACAAAGGACATTATATGCAAATAAAATCTGTGTTTGGACCAATCACAACATTCATATTTGTACCAACCAATCAGAAAAGGCATCATATGCAAATGAAGGGTTATGTTTGGACCAATCACAGCACTCACATTTGCACCAACCAATCAAAGAAGGCCCTTTTGAAAATTTATTCTTGTGTTTGGATAAATGACAGCACTCACATTTACACCAACCAAATCAAAAGGCTTCATATACAAATGAAGGGTGTGTTTGTACAAACACAGATTTTTTCCATTTTATCATGGACAGAAATAAAATTATGTAAATGAGGACTTGTGTTTGGACCAATCACAGCACTTACATTTATAACAACCAATCATAAAAAAGGCCTCATATGCAAATGAAGGGTTGTGATTTAACCAATCACAGCACTCACATTTATACCAACCAATCACAAAAAGTTTCTTATGCAAATTCATGCTTGTGTTTGGACCAATCACAGCACTGACATTTATACCAATCCATCACGAGGTGTCACATGCAAATGAAGGTGTGTTTGGACCAATCACAGCACTTATATTTATACCAACCAATCACAAGACACATCCTATGTAAATGAAGGATGGGTTTCGAAGAAATCACAAAACTAACATTTATGCCAACCAATCACAAAAGAACTCATATGCAAATTAAGACTGTGTTTGGACCAATCACAGCACTCATATTCACACCCACCAATTAC